GGGGGATGCTTAATGGCATCCTTTGACAAGATCTTACTAGTATTAAGTCGATATAAAGAAGTCCCAGAAGTCTGCAACACGGACGTAAACATAACACACCCCCGTAAGGGAGCTCCTGATTGGTCGAAGAGTATGGCGTCAGCATGAGCCAATCAGCTCCTGGCCCTTCCTTGACGTCACCCTCACGCGTCACATGATCAAAACAAGAATTAGAGTCAGAGTCAGTAGTGAAAGACAGCCCCTTGTGGTCGGACAGTGGTAGTAGACCCTGCGGAAAATTGCTATTTAGTGTGATAAAAGTGAAGGATATTCCAAACGGATTCATTTATCATCGCAACATTGATCTGAAGTTATAAAAGTAGCTATAGTTTGCTGTGAATCGACTAAAATAAGATACGGTAAGTTGGCGCAGAGGTTCCAAGTCTCAACTGCGGTCGAACTCAGACCAGATCGCTGCCAAACGTAAGACACAATATTTTGATGTAGGGTATTGTGACCTTCTTGAGCTCGTCTTGTGATAGTATGGCGACGATTGATATGTTGTGTTGGAAGCGTGTACACTGTCAAGCGTTAACTGTTGACATTTCGCATAAATTAGTTAGCAATACGTTAGCGTGGGACGGAGTTTTTGTATCCCGCTAGCCTGCAAGTCATCAAAACCTGTTCTTCAACTCTTTCAGGAAAAGGAGTACTTGTTATTCGTGTTTACGCATCATAAGGAAGGTATACAAAGACCTAATTTCTAAATGAAGCTGTACATTGATATTGTTTTAGTTGTCTCCTTAAAACTACTTGTCTGGAGTCATTGATAAGGAGAGATAAGCGACTTCAAAACATTCTCGTGATTAGCATCACCTGTTAAGGTACACTTGTTTTGTGATGATTCTTTGAAAAGTTATCAGTAATATCTTTGTTATTCTCGTTAAACAATTATCGTTGTTTTAATTATTATTATTATCATTAGTGTTGTTGTTGTTGTTTTGTTATTGTTATCATAATTATTATCATTATAATTAAACTAAAATTATTGTCATTATGAATATTGTAACTGTGACGATAATATTGTTTACATTTAGTTGTTTGGGAACACGAACCTCTAATTAAGCGTATTACAACATAGATGTATGAGAAAGAGACAGCGTTGTACAAGTCGCTGGTGATATAGGTATTACGTTTCAATAGCAAGGTCAGCAGTTGTTGGCACTGATGACTTCGTATTGCCTCAGTCAAGGGTGCTAGTGAGTCCTGCAAAGAAATACTAGACACGTTAGTGGTGTTCGTGTACAGAATAATAAAGATAACAGTGAGAACCTTGATAGTAGTGCAGTGATCACGTCCGTGGGTACAAAGAATGATTTCACTATTTACATAATTTCTTGCTTTCGTATTCACATAGCTAATATCATGCTATTTCCCGTAACAACAGTTGATGATGTGGTCTTTGTTATATCTGCTGAAACTAACATGACCTCTGCCTCTCCTTCCCCAGGTGTTTTACCCTGTGAGGACCTTGGCATGAATCTCAACGTCTCAGTGCAATGGTGAGTTGGAACCAGTGACCTTTCGCTATAATTAGGCCAGGTTAAGACCTTAGACATTCTTGTGATGACCCGCCCATTGTGGAATTGTAGGCTGTTATTGACGTCCATCGACATATATATAGATGCACATATATAGATGTGTGTGTGTGTGTATCTATGTGTGTATGTGTCTATATAGAGAGAGAGATGTGTATATATATATTATGTATGTATGTATGTAGGTATACACACATACATGTATAGACATAAGTCTGTCGATGGGTATCAGTAACATTCAACAAAACTACTATGTATGTGTGCATTTATCTTTGTTTATTAACTCTCTCTGTCTGTCTGTCTCTCTCTCTCTCTCTCTCTCTCTCTCTCTCTCTCTCTCTCTCTCTCTCTCTCTCTCTCTCTCTCTCTCTCTCTCTCTCTCTCTCTCTCTTTCTCTCTCTCTCTCTCTCTCTTTCTCTCTCGCTCTCGCTATCTCTCTCACTCTCGCTATCTCTCTCACTCTCTCGCTCTCACACACACACACACACACACACACACACACACACACACACACACACACACACACACACACACACACACACACACACACACACACCACACACACACACACACACACACACACCACACACACACACCACACACACACACCACACACACACACCACACACACACACCACACACACACACCACACACACACACCACACACACACACCACACACACACACACACACACACACACACACACACACACACACACACACCACACACACACACCACACACACACACCACACACACACACCACACACACACACACACACACACCACACACACACACCACACACACACACACACACACACACACACACACACACACACACACACACACACACACACACACACACACACACACACACACACACACACACATACACACACACACACACACACACACACACACAC